TCTACTAACACTACTTTTCTAGTAGATTAGCTATTGGCACTTTATGTTGACAATGCATTGAAGAAATAGATGAAAAGATTTAAAAAAATACAATTGAAAAACTAGAATATATTTTAAATAAAAGTTTAAAAAAATCAAAATATGAATAAAACTCAGAAAGGTCTCTAACCTGCTCCCATTAAAGTCAATCCTGTTGATGTCACTGAGGGTAGAATATGAGTGAAGTGGAATGTTAGAACAGAAACAAATGTTTCTGGAGAAACTGACCACATTTTTAATGTAAAACAGATGGATATCATTTTAACTAAATTCCTTCATTTTATACTAATTTAAATATTCTTTTGATAATTAAACTTGCTCTAACGGTTGTGTAATGGAACTGTAAATTATAATAATATTTCAATAAATGCCAACTTGTACATCAGGGCTACGTCTAGACTGGCATGATTTTCCGCAAATGCTTTTAACGGAAAAAAGCGTCTAGATTGGCACAGACGCTTTTGCGCAAAAGCACTTTTTGCGGAAAAGCGTCCGTGCAAATCTAGATGTGGTTTTGCGCAAGAAAACCCCGATCACCATTTTCACCATCAGGGCTTTTTTGCGCATAACGGGTTCTCAGCTGTCTACACTGGCTCTCTTGCGCAAAAGCATTTGAGCAAGAGGGCTTTTTCCCCGAACGGGAGAGTCATTGTATTTGCGGAAGAACACTGACAATCTTACATTAGATCATCAGTGTTCTTGCGCAAATTCAAAGCGGCCAGTGTAGACAGCTGGCAAGTTTTTCCGCAAAAGCAACTGCTTTTGCAGAAAAACTTGCCAGTCTAGACGCAGCCCAGCAGATCTGGTTTGGCTAAGATAAGCAAATTCTGAGTAGAAACACAGGGAAGCCAAACAGAATGACTCTATCCATACATAGAAATACATGCAAGATTGGGATCCTGATTGGATTATTTTTCCTTTCCCTTGACTTGTTTTTGTGTTAATGTTTGGGGTTTGTTTGTTTGTGTTTGTTGCTTATTTTAGAAGGGAACAGAGGAAGAAGTCCTATAATGGGATATTGTAAATTCAAGCAGTGTAGTAAACAATTTCTTTATTTTTATATAAACTTTAAATGTATCAGTTACGATAATTTGTCTCAACTGAATATTCAACATTTGTTTTAAACTATATTAAAACTTCAGCAGCACAGGTGTCTGTAAAATAGCTTGTAAAAAAATGTACTACTATTTTTAATGTATAGAAAAAATGAATATATTAATGCAGAATCCAAATGAATATTGACTAATAGGCTCTCAGTTTGTGGGTGATAATTTGGAGAGAATTATGACCAAAAATTAAAATGTAAACCACACAGTTTATTGAAATAAAATAATTCAGTATGACAACGAAATAATTAATATTGTCAATGCTGTACATACATTTTAAATTATGAATCTGTCTTTACATTTTATACATTACTAATTTTACAAATAGAACTTGAAGACCACTTTGTCCAATTTGTATTTATTGCAGAACCAAAAACTTACAGTAAATTCTCCTTTCACAAAAATGCTTTGAATTAATTATGTGTTTGAATTTTACATTGACAATCTCTTAATGACATTACTGTGTAGGTTGTACTTTTTCCATATATAATGATCTGACTGCTGGAAGCTTGGGCTTGTTTTAAACTAAACCTAACCAGCATTAAAATATCTGGCCCTAGCTTTCTAACACCTTACGGTAAGTAAAGTGTTAGAAAAAACAAAGTTTCTGCTCTCTAACCTCATTTATATTATGTGCATGTTAAAGAAATGATTCTGGTATTTATAATCATGTACAACCCCCACGCCATTTTATAGCTTTCTTCCCTCAATCCCAGGTAAGGATCCTGCAACCATTATTCACTTGAGCAGTATCATTGCAGTAAATAGGACTAGTCTGGTAAGTAAATGGCTGTTCAAGAGTTGCTGAGTCAGATTTGTTGTCACTGAGTTAATATCATTTGGCCCGCAAAATAATTTATAACTGTAGTTATGTTATTAAAAATTGTACCCCAAATTGGTATTCCACATTTCTCTGTAGAAATTCTGCACACATTAGAATGAATTATCAAAAGGTCACTTTGAAATAATAAGTTTTCATGGGCTGCAGTTCCATTGGTCAGATGCATGGAAGCTTCAGTTTGGTAGGGATTTATATTGAGATGGAAGTGTTTACATCAGTGCTAACAAGGCCAATTAACTCCCATCTTTGTATAAATTCCTGCCAAACTGAAGCGTCCACTTCATGCTTCTGAGGAAGTGAACTGTAGCACTCTAAAGCTTATGCCCAAATACATTTGTTGGTCTTTAAAGTGCCACAGGACCCCTCATTGTTTCTGTTGAAACAGATTAACACAGCTACCTCTCTGAAACTTCCTGAAAGCAGTGACTGTTTAAAATGTTTCATAATGTATATGCAGTTGTGACCCAAGTACAAGGAAACTGTGTTACAACTAAAATATTTGTACCAATTTCTATGCAATCTTGCATTTTAAATGGGCAACTCCCCCATTCACATAGGATTGAGTTCCATAGCTACAGAACATGTTAATGTGAAATGTACACAGTAGCAGTGTACCTCCTATGGCTATATTACTCTTGAAAACTCGTAGCTAAAAATCTGGGCAGCTCCTCCCAGCTAGAGAAGGTTCTGGTTGAAGAGGATAGCCGAAATAGGGTGATGACACCAAAAATCCAGCTGGTTGAGTTAGGTGGATAGAATGGCCTGTTTGTAGGCACCCAGACGTGTAAGGTGAAGGTGGAGATGCCACTAAGCACCCAGACTCTGCCCTGGCAAAAGAGAACCTGCGGATGGAGCCTCCAGTAGAACTCGAACTGGTTGCAGTACTGGACTGTCGAGACGGTGTCCGGAGGCCGGTGGAAGTGAGGATCATTGGAAGAGTCTCGATCTGATAACTTCGAAGAGAGAATCGTATTGGCTGCTGCGATGGTTGTTTAGGTCTTAAACACGTGCAACAATAAACAGCTACCAACGAGCCCACAATAACGAAGGCGATGAATATGGACCCAACAATAAGGAAAGGAACGTAGATCGGCTCTGAATAAAACAAAATTAAGTACATTTTAACACCCCGAAACAGCCAGTCTATTTAACTATGCAAAGTTTACAAAAGTCCCACATTATTTTTAAATTCCCACCAACTACCGCGCTTGTTAAGATACTCTTTTCATGTGTTGCAATTAGAACTAAGTGTAAACTACGTGCCAGCGGTCCGTATGATGTGATTACTACGTGAGAATTTCACAGATCGTGCAATAAGCTACATTTGGCTTTTAATTAGCCTTTAGATCCTGCGCTCAGAAATCGAAATTCTTTCCTGTTGACAACTTTAATGAAATTATTATGAGTCCTGAGGGGCATGAGTCCGCATCGTCCTGTTTGCTGCCTGAGTGGAGTTTTCAATGGTCGGTTCAGGTGGGTTTCCCCTTTGTTCAAATCTAGAATCATTCTCCGTTTTTCCAAGTTTTTTCGGAAATGTAATGGTGCAGCTTAGAACTGCTTCAACACCACCGGCTAATTCTGCGACAGCTCCGGTCCCTGGTGAAGCAGAAAGCAACTTCGGAGCGATCGATTTTCAGCAAAATCTCTTTCAGCTCGTGGGTCTATCCAGGCGAGAGCGAGATATTCCTGGAAGCCTAGGCTGGTGCTTTCCACAGTTCAAGTCCGGAAAGGGAAGCTAGAGCTGCCGCGGACACGGCGTTCCAGCTGCTCCTCCACCCGGCTTCTAGGAGCTCGCCTGTCGGGGTCACGGGATTTCAGTGTTTGGGCCGCTTGTGTCGTGGGAGTGATTGAATCCTTATTGCCCGCGGCTCCTGACTGGCTCCCCCCGATC